GAAAACCCTTTATAAGAACTTAAAGGCCCGTGTGAGCGGCCCAATGGTGCCTCAGTGATAGCAGGGTGGCTTAAACCAGTCAGAGCTGTCAATCATTCAACTCTCCACCATTCTACGGCTTTGTGGGAACTCGGCTATTGACCCATCTCAAGCTGGCAGCGGTGACAAAGCAGCCGGCATGTAACACAAAAGACACTCTCTGGGCTCAGACTCCCACTAACAACAAGTTATTTACACCCTCAGAATGCGACTGGGACTGGCCTCACACCAAATTACTGCTGACTAGAAAGGCTCTTTCATGACATCATCGACCCTCTTACCGGACACCCAGTATACCTTTCAAAGGAGAAAATGGCCGCAATCTACAAAACTATTCGCATGTGTGTTAATGCATTTTTTTTTTAGATTATGTGATTCAAGTAAAGTGCTTCAGCCTACAGAATCCACATACACAACAAAAACAGGGTCAAACATGTTAAGCAATTGATTTGTTTCTAACATTAGATTTTTAATAGATCTCTTCCATTACGCCACTCCACTGGGCCTTTGTGTTTAATGTGCCTGACGATTGTGTTGAAGGTTTTAAAAGGATGCTTTTGAGTGGACTCTGAATAGACAGGCAAACCACACAGGATGTCTGTGCCGGTAATCTAGCAGCATTTCAAGTTCATGTTATGCTGTGTCAATGCTGTCCTGAGACCAGTCGTAAAGGTGACCATGTTAGAGGCTCACATTCGAAATGTCATTATTAGAAAAACAACTTAATAATCCTCACTTTTCTAAGATTGGAAATGCACATAACATACTCTGGTAAACTGGAATGTACTCATTAAATAAATAGTAAAAAGTAATCAAGATCCTAAGATTTCTTATGTAATCACCAAGGTTGTCTTAATTAGGCACTACCAGCAGTGCATTTGAATTCACCTCTAATGTTCAAATTAGCAATGCATCAAGAAGATGTGCTAATGTATTCAAGAACGTCAGAATTCATTTGTAAATAGTTAGAGTGATGCTGAATATTTTTTTGACAGAGTGATAAGTGCACTTAATGTCCTCAATGTCTAATAGACTACCCAGGACTCATTATTATTCATTGTTTTTCATATGAACATTTATATGTTCGGATATGCGCTAAAACTCACAATATAAACATAGACAATATGGATACAAATATTTATATGCAGTGACTATAATTTTAGATACAATATACTATTACAGAGATATTTTTTTTTTCCATTACTGCTTGAATTGATGGCAGATGTGATTTTTAAAATATTGTCTGAGCAGTGCATTTCATCTCTAAATATTAGAAATGTGACTAAAAGGTTGATAACCACAATCCATTTACAATGACAGTAAGTAACTGCTGTTTTGATGGCTCATTTCTTCATTGTTCAAGGTTCACAGTCGACTCTGTGCCCATTAAAACAAAATAACTGGAGCCTAGTGTATTAGGCTTTTACCCTCATTGTTGTCAATGTCATATTTACATTATGCCCCACTAGCTCAGCTCGCCAAAAAACGTACAACAACAAAAATAAAATCTGCAACATGGCTTACAGATTTGCCAGACCCTTCGTAAAACCCTTGACCTGAGCTGTACAACAATACTGTGGTGTAATATTACATCCTCTATAACGAGGACCCTTTTGTACAGATGTGCACAGTGCTTTTTACAAATATTTAATGGTATAACAAATGGCCTATGGCTTTTTACTGCAATTCTTTTCGACTCAATATCTGATGTAAACGTCAACACTTCATCAAGAACTACCTCAGGTGAAGAGACAGTGGACACATTGTTTTTTTTTTTCTCAAGCAACACAAGGTGGAAGGGAGGAAGCTAAATTAGGCCAGACTCTAAATATTTCACAAGCTCTCATTCATTATTGACTAACGGCTTCGCCCAGCTGGAAGATTAGAAATCAAATCTCTCTCCAGTCAATGATTAGTTCCCTCAATTCTCCAAGCACATTCACACTTACAACCAAGAAATTCTTCTGTATGATGACATTGCTGTAAAACTGTAGGCAATAGGTTACTCCAATCCTAATTTAAAATAATATTTTAACATAGTACATTTAACCCTTCTATAACATTATACAACATACTGTTCCATCCTTAATTACACAGGAATTTTAACTATTGTTAACTAAGAAACTTTGATTAACGAATTAGTAAGGAATAACACTCAATTGAATGCGGTAGTTCAATATTAACTAATCAATAACTACTTTCTTTTTTTCATACCTCCCAAAGAACTACTACTATACACAGGTTCATGATTAATGTGAATAATGCACATTAATGAACTCCTTCTGAAGGATTTGGTAATACTTGAGTCATCACTAGTAGGTTACCATGATCTTCACTTCAGAATTTGGCATTATTCACTGCATTAATTATGAACCTATAGGTATGAAAAAAATAGCAGTCAATTGATTAGCTAATAATGAACTACCACATTCGACTATACTGCCCTACAAAGCCAAAAGGCAGTAACTGCATTTTTGGTCAAAAATGAGTTAATGTCATTTTTGGGATATTAAAGACCTCCTTTATCATGTGGATAAATATCTATACTCAATTTGACTGTTTTTTCGAAAAAATAGAGGGTTGTGTTCACAGTAACTCCCAAAACCATACAAGCAACCATGGCAGAAAGCGGTAACTGCAGTTACCCTTCTTTGGCTTTGATCTTCGACGCAAAAGTCCAGTTCCGCCTTTGTTAAGCCATTCATAAAAGAGATGTTACGGTGCCACCTTGCAGTTACGATGATCTGCCTTTGTTTTACTGTCCATAAAAATTTGCCGCGCTTCAGTTACTGTCCATGTATTGTCACTAAATCACTTACTTCTATAACACACAAATATCCAAATAAAAAACGAGCTGTCAAATGTGTTAAGTGGTCGTTTTATCAAGTGTTGAACTACTGTAAGAATGGCAAATTGCTCTCGAGGGAGAATGATGGTGGAGTTGGCGTTGAAAAGAAGACATGAAGACCAAGGTAATAAATTATCTTATAAAATAATGCATTAGATGAAGTATGAAAGTGCCATATACTTAACGTTAATTTTGAATTGCTAGGACAAGCAACTGACGAAGAAGCTAACTAGTCTACTTATTAGCCAGCACACCAACACCAACCAAAACATCAATAGATACCTAGACAGCATGACATCTAATACTTAAATAATTAAAAATCACTCAGCAATCCATTCTGTGCCGACAATCCAGAGATGCAGACATTGCAGGAATGTAGCCTATTCAATGTTGACATGTTAGCCCCAGCCTAGCTATCATGCTACACATTACTGCACAGCGGCAGTAGCCTGCTAACACATACTGCACGGTGGCAATAAACAATCATTTCCTACCTTTTCTTGTAACTCCATAAAATCCATTGCAATACACGTCATCTACGATGTTTCCACAATCCTCAAAGGTTTTGAACATATAGTCCGTGTCCCTTGCTGGTATTCAGACCAAGCTATCCACAAGTTATCTAGGCTAGTTTCAAAGCGTCTTCTGTAATTAAGCGTCATTTAGCGTTAGTAAAACAGCATAAAGTGTATTTGTTGCAAAATATTATCCACGTACACATACAACTTTTTGTTTGGTCGATTCTCTTCCCATTAGACTTTAATGAAGGTGATCATTAATTATCTTCTAAATGGTGGTAAGCAAATTGATTATATGTCAGTTACTGCCTTTTGCCTTTGCACGACTCCTTATTTTTTAGTAAATAATACAAAGGCAGAGTACAGTATCTGACAAATAAGGGTCAAAAGTCAACTTTGAGCACAAGATTTTTTATATACACACATTTCTTGATCTGGGCAACAAGTCACCAGATTTTCATTGCTCTACCTATAATACATTTGTGTGGACAAAACAAAAAACTTTAAAGTCATTTTTCTCAGTTTGACACTCTGGTCAGTTACTGCCTTTTGCCTTTGTAGGGCAGTATAGCACTACTTACTAATTTGTTAATCAGAGTTTCTTGTTAGTTAATCGTAGTTAGAATGTTAATATTACATTACTCTTTTGTTCCTGTATAGTTATTCATTAGTGATGGGACAGTATTCTACGGTTTCATCCAAAATAATAATAATGTATTACTTTCAGCTTGTAATAAATTATATCAAACTGCAAAATGTAAAAAAAGGGAAAATTTGCACCAACCTGATCATTTACTAAATAAACTTTCTTCTATCTCATCAAAACCATTTAAGTTGTCTTGATTATGTGAAGAGTTCAGATGCAAAAGCCTCTAAATTCCATTTGAAATTTTCTTCTTTATTGATGATTTTTATCAAACTTGTATATTTAAGTTCAGTAATTTCACTTAAATAACAATTAATAGGTAATTATCATTGCCATTTAAGTGAAATCACTGAACTTAAATATACAAGCTTGATAAAACTGATCATTCTAGAAGAAAATTTCAAATGGCACTTAGAGGCTTTTGCATCTGAACTCTTCATGTGTTCTTTTACTATTCAATGGTCCAAAGAATTATGCCTTCTCATTAGTCACTTTGAAAATGACCACTCTACCAGCTAAACAACCAAAATCGATCACTAATAATTAAGATGCACTGGTCATTGGTATTGCTGTCAGATGTGATCATCACAACATCCCTTTATTTTTTTCCTATTTTTTTTTTTTAATAACTCTCATTTTCTGTAGCCACATTAGATTAATGGCCGACCATGAAATTAATGTTGGATTAGATTTACTAGAGGGTTTATTCGCCCCCGGTTCAGTGATCAGTTAGCTACTGCCCCACATCATCTCAAAATGGCTGCCCTTATGAAATCCTGCAGATGAGGTCAAACCCTCAGTTAAAAACAACGCACGCAAGCGCAAAACAATATTTAGACACACAATAAAAGTGATGATCTATAAACTTGAGTCTTTTGAGTATTATTAGCGATTTAACAGCTGGATGTTCGTCATGGAAGCACTGGGGCTCAGATGCATGGGTACTTACTGGTTGTGTTTCCTGACATCTGGATGATGCACTTGGAATCTTTACCGATTTCACGAGAGTTGAAGGGCCGAACTCTCACCGCCACCTTCACCGAGGCCCCTGCCATGGTGCCTCTGTGTGTGTGCTGAGAGCACTCCTTTAAAAGCCCAGGTCAGTGCTCACACCTGCCAACAGAAGAATAGAGCATTGATGAAACACTGATGTCAACAAACAGAAAAATGGAAGATCTATAGCTATAATATACTGTATATATATACACACACTTGATTGAGACATTTTGATCAATGCACAAAAAATAATATACGCTCAACGTACAGTAAAATCCATATTTCTACACGCATTTGCAGCATTTCTGAAAGTAAAGGTAGGATATTACTGATTGTGTAGTTGCATTACTAGCAGCAGATAAATATTGATTTAGACTCTTCTCCATTGGAAATTGAATTACACATAGTTTCGGGAAAGCTGTTAAGCTGCCTATCACCATAGCAACTATGAGTATAATTTCTGTTGAATCTATTACACGAAATGGCATGAAGGGATGAAAAGCAAACGCATGATTTCAGTTGTGACTTACAACAAGGTAAACAATAAATCCCCCCAAAAATTCAATATTTCAATGTTCATACTAAACAGGAAGGCTGTGTTTATATGACCTCACCGTAAAAGGATCATGCACGGTCAGCTGGAGATCTAGAGAGATACTCGCCTGGCAGCAACAAAAGAAGTGCACGGCTGGCTAAATGTCAGTACGCTTCCTAGGATTACAATAGCCCAATAACAGAACTGGCGAACACAAACTCCGAGTCCGGCTCAGCCTCTTAGTCGGACCAAAATGGAGATTCAATTAATGTGTCAGGGGAGATTTATGGCCTTTAAGCCTCAATCTTCTTTGAAGAGTTCTACGTCTGTTTATATATGTGTTTGGATCAGTAACTATGAGGTTTATTTGAATACATATAAATGAACTCATACAGAGATCTGATGTAAGCATAATTCTAAAATGGCCAATTATAAGGACATCATGCTGAGTCACATTCTGGTGTGTCAGAGTAAGTTCAGTCTCTCTCATCATTACTTTCCAGTATACTTATATGAACCTCAAAAGTTGCATGTCACTTTACAATGATATTAAAAAGCTAGGGGTTTTAGTGTTATTGAGTTGAAAAAGTAACTATGAAATAAATGTTATATTACATGTATTGTGACTGACACTTTTGGTTAATTAACCTATACACATCCATTCTAAACAATCTGTGATTAACATAATTGGTAAAAGAGAATAAGACCAGCCATTTTTAGGTAAGAAATCTAAGAATAAAGCTCATGTATTTTATACAGGGCATCACAATTAAAACTCAATTCACATGCACATCTTCATTACAGATAGGCAGAAAGATCGATTGTACAGCATGTTGTCATGTAACCTAAAAAAAAAACGTGAATGAACTGCTTTTATTCAAGTCAAAATTATTATCGAACAAGCCTTACTACAATGTTACAGCAATAAAAGTAATTTTAAGGGCCAGATCAAGTAGAACATGTGAATTAAGGTAATATTAGATCATAAAATCATAAATATTCAAGATACTTTTTAATTTGCTGTCTATCATTGAGTTCCTAAGGGTTAAGCAATCTACATAAATCATTAATTGTGCCTGACATCATTTGCATAATGCTGTTAGAACATGATTCCATAAGCGTGTGATGCCAGAAGTCATAATATTTTACCCAACTCGCTATACTAACTCTTACAAATTAGGAAACATTAGAAATTACATATGAGAAATAAAAAGAAATGATTGTACTGTAAAAAAAAGTATAAATAAAATACTTTGCTCTGTAAATTCTCAAATCGTGATTCATTATTGTGTGCCTGCCAGCTTGAGACAATGTATGACAGTGCATTTATCCTTCCCGCACTTAGAAATATGTACACAAGGACAGATGGCCATTTATGACGAACAACATCTGTTCCATTACTCAATAAAAAAAAAAAAAAAACACCTCTCTGTCATAATAATAATATCAGGATTTGTTGACAGCTCTGAATGGCCGCACCCCACGGCAGTCCCACCCTGGTGACCCAACACCAAATAAACACACAGAGCCTCATTAATACTGCATTGTCCTCAAGAACACGCTAACAATGAAAAAAAAAAAAACTCTTACCTTTACAATGGAGACCCTCTGATGCTCTCAGCTATTGACTCGACAGATCAGCTCCAAGTACTGTCTCTTGCGCTGGCTTCTCAAAATCTTTTTCTTGAGCTCTTCCTCTGATATGTCAAAAACAATCTGATTTTCCCTCGTTTAACAAAGGATCCTTTATTTGTTCTGGATGCCTGTTGAGGCCTGCTTGTAAGGAGGGAGGCTACTTGGAGGAGAGATCTTTGAGTGCCCTGTAATGTAGAAGCCAAAATGGCTCTGCTAGTGATGCTGAGACTGAGTGAACCAGTGACATCATCAGTGAGGAAGGCAGAAGCATCAATGCAGTAGAGAGAGAGAGAGAGAGAGAGAGAGAGAGAGGGGAGGGGGTTGAGGGGAAGGAGATTAGATTCCCCACAGAGTACGGTATGCGCGCGCACACACAGACACAAACATGGCTCTACATAACATGAGATTCAGTGGCTAGTGCTGGACTGCATATGCGTGATAGATTAAAAGAAACCAAGTGGTTAGGTTTGTATGAAGCATGACTAAATAATATTTAATATTTACGTTAATTCACCTCTAATTCTTTTGACTTAGCCTATTTCTCTGTATTTGTGAATTAGAGACAAATTAAGTTAAGTTATTTAGTCTCTGAATTAGAGACTAAAGTAAAATGACTAGTAAAGAAATAATCCATGTTATTATATCTTAATAAAATTTCCATTAATATTATTTGCAATTAATTTCATTTAATAGCTATTGAGTCTTAAATACTGAAGGTAAAAGAATGGTCTGATTAATCAGACCAAAAATACTGATTTTTAAAAACAGCAGTCATTTAAATTGTTATTCAAGTAAGGGGTAATTGAAAGAAAATATTATTAATAATAATAATACATTTATGAATTAGAATTCATATCAGGTAATTATTATTAATATTATTAATATTATTTGACTTGTAAACTGATCAGAAGAGATCTCTCCTCAAATACCTTCACCTGGCTAAACCATGACCATTCTCAGTTGTAACTGAGTTATGGTCTGGCAAAGCTTCATAGACAAATCATTTCCAAAGGGGCGTCACCAAAGGACGAAGCTCAAATGCCTCTGGGCGCAATTGGATAGACATAGACCTAAAACCAATAGACATAGACTTAAAACCAATCAGAGTGATGAGGGAGATGAAGTATGCAGAGCGACGTTCGTCTGTTATAGAGCAGACACTGATTAGCTACTTGTTCTGCGTTGATTTCATGATGACTTTAAATAGTATTTTTTATATAACAGGACAGTTAATTTTCCTGGCCAGAGAATAACTTCTCTTGAACGTCTATAATAACTTTCATGAGGTTTGATGAAGGTCGGACGATCAGTTTTGCTGGACAAAGCCGATTATTTGATAATTAATTGACCCATGAAAGGTTATCCTTAATTTGAATCAATCTATCCTAGACAATTTACATATTAATATGTAAATATAATTCGTTGTGACTGATTATTGATATACAATTGATCGAATTTTGCCTGCCTGTATGGAGAATTGACTATAATTCACTGTATTCAGTTGTCCATTCGTTACCGTTGGTAACTTTTTCCCTTTATGGGTAATTTTAATCTATATATATGTTATTAAAATTATATTCCCTTTATTTGAGCTAAGATTCACTACAGAACTTTAATGTCCAACTCTTATCGTAAATAAAATAAAATCTGAAATTGTCTAAAATGCTAGAATATTAAAAACAGCAGTCATTCCAAATTTTTAATATTTTAAATATTGATAATTATATGCAGTGTTAATATTAATAATTTTAAATATTAATAAAAAGTTTTAAATATTAATAATAATAAATATAAATTAATTATAATTCATATTATGTAATTAATATTATGTTATTATTAATAATAATAATTATTATTATTATAGTATGACTTTTACACTTTAATGTCGAATGCTAAAGAAAACCATAGTTAATTCTCAGTTTTTACTATTTTTTTTTTAATTAAGAGCCAAACATTTATATAAACAAACAAACAAATAAACAAACAAATAAATAAGTAAATGCAAATAAAATGTAAAAACTACTCAATTAAAAAAATGCTATAAGTTAAATTTTCGGAGATTATGGTATTGCTTATAAGTTAAAACATTCCACATTTTTTTCCATGAAAAAATATGGAATTGCAAAGAAGTGTAAATAATATTTGGCCTGATTTGGACCTTTCCTTTGAGCTATCTGTTGAGCTTTCTGGTGGGATTACTCAGTTCCCAAACTATTAGAGAAAAATTGGACTGTGCTCTCCCCACAAATCCAGTAAATCCATGTAACACATTCATAAGGGAAGCTTTTCCCACTGACATTAATCCGCCTCTATTCTTCCGACTCAGCCCCTCTTTGCATTTTCTGAATTTAGAGACTAAAAGGAAATGACACCAGTAAAGAACTACTGTATATCTCATGATTAAGTTCCATATCTTAAAATTTGCATACCAGAACAAAAAATAAGACTATGTTGAGCTTCTAATAATTAAATAATTATTTTAAGAGTACATTTAAACAAATAAAGTCATATTATTGAAGTATATATATATATATATATATATATATATATATATATATGTGTGTGTGTGTGTGTGTGTGTGTGTGTGTGAAATACTTATGGGGGGGGGGGGGGGGGGGGGATAATTTTATCCATCACCCATCAGCCATTAATAGCCATATTTTAAAGAAGATTATTATTATGCATGATTCAAAGGCAAAATAGTTTTTATTTAGTGTCTATAGCCTCAATGTGAGAAAAGAGAAACAGTGCAGCACATCAGTGCCTCTGAACGCTGTAATGATGATTCAGTGTTTTGGCCGGTTCATGTACAATAGAGGGAAGGGCACAGACCGCCACATCCAGAACATGGAAGTATCCCTTGGGTTTCACCCAAATCAGATGCAAATCAATACAGTTTTCTAATGTCCATCTAATGAGCTGAGCAGGTCATTTACTTCATCTGGGACTTCATTTCCTATTGTCGTTGTCTTCCTTTTCATTCTATTGTCTTTTGCTTGTCTTCCTAACACCTCTTTATCACACCCTGCTTTGTCAACCCTTCCTCAAAAGTCTGACCACTTACACCTAATGGCCGTTCTTGATCCAATGAAAGTCATTCAGGAGTGGACTATATGTGTGCGACTCACAAATATTTAGAAACGTGCATCTTCAACATCACCGATACTGCACAGTACACACACACACACACAAACACATATATAGTACATTCGTCGAAACACTGAATCATCATTACAGCATTCAGAGGCACTGATGTGCTGCACTGTACATTCATCATGTAAAATATTAATAATTTATTATAATATTCTCACTACCATAATGTGTGAATATGTGCAAAACACACAAAAAAAACTAATAAATTATTGAAGTATATTTCTTACTTTGTTCTGAATGAATTTCATTTAAAAAAGAGCATAAGAGCACTCAGACTGAATTTATTTATTTATTATTAAAAAAAATTCTTTATATCTTCTCTCTCTCCCCCCCTCTTTTTAATTTTTATTTGTATTGAAATGGGACATTCCTTTAATTTACCCTGGAATACAGCTCAGACAGGAAGGCGCAGCGAGCACCGAACAACCACAGCATTCAGTTAGACACAATGCCAGTCTGAGCAGTCCCTTGAGGCTGCTTTTCTCTTCTTGTGTCTCCTTCTCCTTCTCCTTCCTGCTCCTCTGTCTCAGCTCAGTAGAGCAATACTCTGAATAATTTACCCAGCTGAAGAAGCTCTGGTGTGGGCCTGACGCCTGATACTGTCTTAAAGGGATACGCTTTTAAAAGGGTAACTAAACCCTAAACCAACTTTTTTAGGTTAATGATCTGTAAGAATGGGGCTTTATTAGTGCTGATCATTGATTCAAGTTAACTTTTTTGACATTTGGGTGTAAAGTGATTTAATTCTATAATATACGGTGTAAAAGGTAAAAACGTCTGAGTGCTGCCCTCTTCAGTTTGAACGGTGGCTACTGCAGTTGAATTTTAGCTCCCACTTTATATTAAGTGGCTTTAAAGGTGCCATCTAACATCATAAATCAAATCCTACTCCATATTCCATAACAGATGGGGGCAGTATACCTCCAAAAAATGACTTGCGCTCCTACCATCGCGCATGTTATTCAAATCATTTGACATGATAGTAAAAGGTTGGAAGACCGCAGTTTCACGTGGAACATTTGGAGATTTTTAGAGATCAGAGACTCAATGAACTAAACACTAGAGTGAACTAAACTAAACACTATGAATTAATAGTGTTATAGTGTAATAGTGTTAATAGGTTAATATCTCGCAGCACTATAACTTGTCAGTTTTTTAATGACATCTTTGCACTTATTTCTTCTCATTCTTTTGATGCGTGTAGCTCATTTTTCGTATATTGTTACCTCAATTATTACATATGCCACCTTTAAGTACTTTGCACTTACTTAAAAAAATAAGTAGGCTACAATGTTCTTATTGTGTTGAGGTTGTATTGTAAAACACATTTGCTGCTATTGAGGTGTGATACGGGAAAGGCTAGGCTCAGGTGTGGTGGAATGGGTCGGTTTAAGGGTAGGTTAAGGTGTAAGGGAAGGGGAAACATTATCTATTACATAAATTAATTACAGCTGTAACTACATGTAGGTATTTTCACAATATAAGTACAATGTAAAAACATGTATGTACACAATAAATCCATTGTATCAAATTATTCATTTCAATGTAAGTGCATTGTACTTAAAGCCACGGAATTACGAGTATTGGAAACGATCAGGATGAAGTATTTTAGCATCCAGCATAGCATTTATATGAAGAGTTCAGATGCAAAAGCCTCTAAGTGCCATTTGAAATTTTCTTCTAAAATGATCATTTTTATCAAGCTTGTACAGTGGCGTGAATAAGTTTGGACACCCATGCTAAAGTTGCCTAAAAAGAGGAATAAAAAATCATCTTTTGCATATTGATCTTAATGCCTTAATTAGAAAAATGAGGAAAACTCCAACCTTTAAGGACACAAATTTTCTTTGTGAATGAATAATGTATCATAAATAAATAAATGTTTTTTCCTTAAAATACAGGGTGCATAAGTCAGGACACCCCATATGTTAAATTCCTTAAAGTCTTATTTATTTTTTATTTTTAAAAGCCAGTTATTTTATGGATCCAGGATAATATGCATCCTGATAAAGTTCCCTTGGCCTTTGGAATTAAAATATCCCCACATCATCACACACCATTCGCCATGCCTTGAGATTGGCATGGTTTTACTTCAGTTAGCCTAATAGCTGGTTTGATTTGCATTGAAAGATGATCTTATGGAAAGTACCCCATGCCAATCTCTAGGTGTGGTGGAAGGTGTGTGATGATGTGGGTCTATTTTAATTCCAAAGGCCAAGGGAACTTCATCAGGATGCATATTATCCTGGATCCATGAAATAACTGGCTTTTAAAAATAAAAATCTGCCTGACTCTATGGGAATTTAACATAGGGGTGTCCTGACTTCTGCACCCTGTATTTTAAGGAAAAACAATTATTTATTTATGATACATTATTCATTCACAAAGAAAATTTGTGTCCTTAAAGGTTGGAGTTTCTCATTTTTCTAATTAAGGCATTAAGATCAATATCCAAAAGATGATTTTTTTATTCCTCTTTTTAGCCAACTTTAGCATGGGTGTCCAAACTTATTCACACCACTGTATATTTAAGTTCAGTAATTTCACTTAAATGGCAATGAAGATTACCTATTAATTGTCATTTAAGTGAAATTACTGAACTTAAATATGCAAGCTAAAAATGGTCATTATAGAAGAAAATTTCAAATGGCATTTAGAGGCTTTTGCATCTGAACTCTTCATATAGTTATTTAGATTATTTTGTGTAGCCTAGTTTGTAGTACAGTTAGGATATCTTCAAGTTAGTTTATCTGTATTTACAGTGGTCAGGGTGGTAACAGAATGGAAATGGGCTTCTCCACACAGCTAGCGCTGAAACAGACACTGCTCCTCCTGCAAGTAACGTTACTCCACCACCCCAGAGGCACCTTGATGTGAGTGTATATTTTAATCATAATTTATTGTTAGGCTAAAATTAATCCTCATGGGATTTTTTTCACATAGTGGCAAAATATCAATATTAAGAGTGAGCGTGCACTATTGCCATCAACTCGACAAAACTCATCATATGCCGATCGCAATATATGAGTTAAGACCGCAGTTTGAGCCAGCGGCTCGAATTGATATGGCCCTGTTTCCACAGATAATTCACCCTCCTCCACTTCATATGAAGGTAGGGGAGAAAAGTCATCGACTTCAAATGACCGCTCTGTTGCAAAGCTACTTGTGTCACTCCAGTCACTCTCCATTTTAGAGTCTGACAGCACCTGTCACTGCGGGTCTCAGGTGCACGCCCCCCGCTCAGCCCTGCCCTTGGTTCGTCCCCTCTATCTCTGCCCATTTTTTCAGCATTTTTCAAATATTGCCAGTGGGTGGAGTCAGGCTCTGACCACCAGGGGTTTAGTTACCCTTTAACGAGAATACTGCTGATAAAAACATGATGATAAAGGATAATGCAACCTACGAGTCCACAATTCCGTCACACATAAACAAGCCTAATCCTTCCAACTCACAATTCTCAATTGTATTCTCTGTTTGAGTAATTCATTCCAAAGCCATGCTTACTTAACCCTCTTCCAAAAAACCAACGTGAATTATACTTTATAAACAATTTACTGAACCAACACAGGTCAAAGAACTTTATCTTCCTGCTGACATACACATGTAGATCAATGAGGGAGGTACATGACCCTAAAGTGAAAGCTGTTGCTGCCAGAACAGTGAAACACACTGATATAGGCTACATGTGATATTGCAGACATGGAACCAGGATCAACTGTCAGTGCTGTGCGGAGCCAGAGGGTTTTGTGTGGAGAGGAAATTCGACCTGCAGTTATCTTAATAAAGGAAGGACAGATTCATAGCATTCTGCCTGATTCAGAAGCTTCAGCGCACACAGCTGGAAAGGTGAGCTAGACTATGAGAGAGCGACATACACCACCTGCTGGAGACTACAGGCGGTGTAGTCCTCATTAGATTTTAGAGGACAGAAGATTTTGGACAGAAGGGCCTGGTTTCAAAAACAGGGCTTAGATTAAGCCAGGAATCAGGATTAAGCCTTAGTTCAATTAAGAATTTTAAGCAGCTTTAACAAACGTGCCTGATGTGCATCTTGAGACAAAACAATGGCACATAGGATATCTCTATTAGTCGGGGACTAGGCTTAAGCCTTTTCTGTGAAACTGGGGGAAGGATTTGAGATTTTGCATGTTGGTTTTTTAAACACCTTGTACAAAATCTTCTTAATTTACAATATATATATATATTTTTTCAATCCCTCAATCCTTAAAAAAAAACACTTTATCTAGGTTAAAAAGAGAGATAGAGAGAAACCAATGGCAATATGGCAAGGCCAATTAGTTTATATTATATAATAAAAGTAGATTTTAACCAAAAGATTGAACTAGGTTCTCATAATAACGATTCACTGTAAAAAAATAAAATTAAAAAATAAATAAATAAAAATTGCTACCTTAAACATTCAAGTTGATTGTACTTAAAAAGTTAGTAATTTCATCTTAAATTACATTAAACTGACTTTAAAAATGAGTTAAATCTTGTGTATCTTAAAATGACTTACCGGTAACTTATTTTGATGATTTAAAGCAATGTAAAAATATATCGTCATAAGCTCCTAATCAAATCATTTTTATCAGTGTACTTTTCATAAATGTCATGTTTAAAACAGGTCATAAATGCATTATTTACAATATATGTGTGTGTGTGTGTGTATGTTCTGTCAATACAATGGTGTGATGTATTTGAACTTTATATATACACTCACCTAAGGGATTATTAGGAACACCAGTTCAATTTCCCATTAATGCAATTATTTAACCAACCAATCACATGGCAGTTGCTTCAATGCATTTAGGCCGTGTGTCCACCAAAGCGTTTTTCCACGCCCCTGGCGCATGTTTTCAATTGAAGTGCCGCGTTTTTTAAACGCCATGAGCGTACCGAAGCGCTGAGCGTTTTTTTTTTTTTTTTTTTTTCACGCTGAAGCGCCCAGCGTTTTTACTGGTTGCTGGGAGTTGAAAAATGTTCAACTTTGGATAAAATGCAGCGCTCATCACTGTCACATTTTACACAGCCGTCCAATCACAGTGGAGGAGGGGCGGGACTAAACCACACCGACCAACTGTCACAACATTCAAACTGCAGCATATATTCTGTATCATAGCAACGAAACATCTCAACAGAAAAAACGCTGCACTGCCAAAGCGCTCTCAAGCGGCCAAAGCACGGCGTCACACGGCCTTTGGGGTGTGGTCCTGGTCTAGACAATCTCATGAAATCCAAACTGTATGTCAGAGTGGGAAAGAAAGGTGATTTGACCAATTTTAAGCGTGGCATGGTTGTTGGTGCCAGACGAGCCGGTCTGAGTATTTCACAATCTGCTCAGTTACTGGGATTTTCACACGCAACCATTTCTAGGGTTTACAAAGAATGGTGTGAAAAGGGAAAAACATCCAGTATGCGGCAGTCCTGTGGGCGAACATGCCTTGTTGATGCTAGAGGTCAGAGGAGAATGGGCCGACTGATTCAAGCTGATAGAAAAGAAACTTTGACTGCTGCATACCTCGGTTGTAACGAGTGGTTATTTCAAAGCATTTGTGAAGCCACAACACGCACAACCTTGAGGCAGATGGGTTATAAGAGCAAAAGACCCCACTGGTACCACTCATCTCCACTACAAATAGGAAAAAGAGGCTACAATTTGCAAGATCTCACCAAAATTGGACAGTTGAAGACTGGAAAAAAGTTACCTGGTCTGATGAGTCTCGATTTCTGTTGATACATTCAGATGGTAGAGTCAGAATTTGGCATAACCCGAATGAGAACATAGATCCATCATGCCTTGTTACCACTTTGCAGGCTGCTGGTGGTGGTGTAATGGTGTGGGGGATGTTTTTTTTAGCACGTTTAAATACCACGGCCTACCTGAGCATTGTTTCTGACCATGTCCATCCCTTTACGGCAGCCATGTACCCATCCTATGACGGCTACTTCCAGCAGGATAATGCACCATGTCACAAAGCTTGAATCATTTTAAACTTGAATCACTGTACTAAAATGGCCCCCACAGTCACTGGACCTCAACCCAATAGAGCATCTTTGGGATGTGGTGGAACGGGAGCTTCGTGTCCTGGATGTACATCCCACAAATTTCCATCAAATGCAAGATGCTATCCTATCAATATGGGCCAACATTTCTAAACAATGCTCTCAGGACCTTGTTGAATCAATGCCACGTAGAATTAAGGCAGTTCTGAAAGCGAAAGGGGTTCAAACACAGTATTAGTATAGTGTTCCTAATAATCCTTTAGGTGAGTGTACATATCAATATGTATATTATATACAACCAAATGTTTTGCTGGTTAATGATTTTGTAGAATTAAGTTAAAAGGCCGTTTCGTGCAGGTTCCATTATGACAGCCTACTACATATTTATTGTTTTTTTTTATTTATTTATTATTAATACATACATATTGACAACATGCCTATTGTACAAAGTAAACAAATGTCTACAAATGTCAGTGCTAAGTGAACTAAATTTGCTCAGTATCTAAAAGAATAAATCTAAAGATCTAAATCTAATTTAAACCCAAAAAGGTTTTTCCATTCCAGTACTAACTAGACAGCATTTGTATTACAGGTGCTGGATGTGGGGAACAGTCTGGTAATGCCAGGTATAGTGGATAGTCATGTTCACGTTAATGAACCAGGCCGTTCCACTTGGGAAGGGTACTGGACCGCCACACGGGCAGCTGCAGCAGGAGGGGTGACCACTATTGTAGACATGCCCTTGTGAGTACAGACTTTAAAATCAAAATTCAGTGACAGAGCTGACATTACCTTTATAATGGACATTAAAATTCCCCCAGTCTTCCTCACTTGCTCATTAGAAATAATGCAGATGATAGCTGAACTCTTATTTTTGTCTGATGGTTTGATCTAGGTTGACAAATAACAAAAAAAGTGACATAACTGATTAATTTCATGGTACATAGAAACAGCATCCCACCAACTACAACTCTTGGAAACTTTCATGAGAAGCTACGCGCTGCTACAGGACAGTGTTTTGTAGACACAGCATTTTGGGGAGGAGTCATTCCTGACAACCAGGTACTTGCAGAGAATGTCTAATTAAAGAGAACTGGCACTGGCTGGTTACTTCCGGGTTCTGGACTGGCTGCAGTAACGCGTCTCTGTCCATGCGGGGGTGCTCGCGGTCGAGTGCAGAATGAATGGGAGTCAATGGGGTTTCACCCCTAGAAATCCACTTTTCTCAGGATGTAATTTTTTGTCAAGTAATTTGAAAAATGCATTCAAAAGGGAGGGCCAAGAAAATACAGTCAGCTGAAAATTGCATTTTTAAGTTCACTTATCTGTTCTAAAAATCTGTTCAAAAATGTGATGTCACACAATAGCAGAATGCTAGCGTGTTCCAGCCAACAACAGCCTAACCTGTAAGAAATCAAAAGGACATAAGTATTCGTTCATTCGACTTTTGGCCTATAATCTATAATGAACTTGCGGAATCAACAATAAAATCTATTTTGATTTAACGACAAGCAGGTGAAAGAGACACATTTAGCCGTTTAGCCCCATAGACTCCCATTCATTCTGCACTCGCCCGTGATCACCTCCAGTGGAATTCTAATGGAACTGCAACCAAGGTGATACACAATGGGGCTAATAGAAAGTGCCAAGGCTCTCCATTAGACGGGCTCTGGTACTTGCCTATAAACTACCTGTACGAAATACATTTCTGTTTTAGACTGTTGTTATATTCTTATAGTCATTCCTCTATAAAAGTTTACCAGTTTGTACTTCCAAACATAGAAGTGCGAAACATACTGTTTATCCATCTAAGCAGAATGAGCCGCTGCACATAGTAGTGTTTCGTTTCTGAATAAATCAGCGTTTTTGAATTAATTGGTTGAGTAAATGGTTCAATTATACACTCCAAACGACTTTGGCTGCATAAAAATATACATAATTCACACTTCAAGCGCACTAATTTATCCTACACACATCCATACTACAGTACATAGCACATACTTTGAATAGCCGCAAAGTCCATTCTTATTCAAAACAAGAAATACCTGCAGAGATCATGCAATTTTTGACTTGGTGAATCAGTTTTTGAACAAATCAGTTAATTAAATGATTCATTGGCTGCATCCAAATATCCACTCCATTGATTCACTCATAAAGACTCCATCCATGCCTCCATCTATTGGCATAAGAATGTGTAGCCGTGTAACAATAAATTGTTAGTCTGCCTGCCTGCCAATCCATCTCTATTCATCAATCTCAGCTAGAGCTAAGGCCGATGGTCCAGGCTGGTGTGGCTGGATTTAAGTGCTTTCTGATCCACAGTGGAGTGGATGAGTTTCCTCATGTGAGTGACACAGATCTGCACGCAGCTATGAAACAGCTCCAGGGCACAGACAGCGTTCTGCTGGTGAGCCATCTCATATTCTGCCTGTCCCATTTCATTTCATCTGACTTCATCAAACATTTCTGCCATGGTGAGCTTCTCATGGCAATGATAAAAGGATGCAACATATTTAGTCACAACTGTTCAGACATAATTGAATAGGCAGCAATAAATATGAAGTTCTACACTAATGATGCACCCATTTGGTAGTTTCATGCAGAGCGAGAAGTCCAGCATCCAGCAGCTGAGAAAGGGGGTATGAGCTTGATCATTTAATGTTAATTAAAACTACTGAAAATCATGAACTTTATTATTTTTAAGATGAAAATTGCAGTTTTTTTCCTTGTTCCTCAGATCCGAATGAATATTCCACCTTCCTGAGATCTAGACCTGATATTATGGAGCTTGAGGCCATCCGTACCGTCACTCAGCTCTGCTTACAGTATAAGTATGTTATGATGAGACCTATAATGAGGGTTATAAAGTCCTCAACTTTTGATTATCCAATGACTGTTCTGCAGACCCAATCAAGAAATGACAGGTCAGCTGCTCTGTTCGTATTATCAGAGTGCGATGCCACATTGTGCACCTGTCATCGGCCCAGCCTCTGGAGCTCATTAGGGCAGCAAGACGGGCTGGAGCTCCGCTGACTGTGGAGACCACCCATCACTACCTCAACCTGACGGCAGAGAACATCCCAGCACGGGCCACTCAGTTCAAATGCTGCCCACCGATACGAGACACAGCCAACCGGGTATCAGAAAAAAAAAACACATTTGAGCCAATTAAACAGAACATTTGAAAGAAACTGGTTGAAAGAAAAAGCTGATCAAAAAAAGTTAATTTTAAAGATTCTGTCAAATTTACACTACAACTTAATAAATTACTTTCTTTTGTGGAACACAAAAGACATTTTGACGAATACACACACTGTCATTTCCCCCATGCTCTTACAAATAATAAGCACCCAAAAATTATTTAAAAACATAAACCATAAAGAATCATGTACTATATTTCAAGTCTTCTGAAATCATACAATACGCTGATTTCACGCAGCCGGCATTTTGAAATCGCTCCGGTGGGAAGAAAACCGAAAGTGTCGCTATTAATCATAGGAGAGTCGCGAATGCGATGGCGTATTGTTGTGTTTAATGTAGAAATTAGTTATTCTAAAAATGTACATACATTTCTTTTAATACTTTAGACTATATATTATACAGTGAAATTCATTTATAAATAAATTATTTTTTATATATAATCCAGAACGTAAAAAAAAGAAGCAGGAACAGGATATATATACACATATCCTATATTGGATATTAACATCCAATAGTGTAAATCGCAGCTTCAGGTTGGTACTCCAAGGCATTGTTGTCTATCTGATCTGTACTTCTGGAATTCTTCCCACTGGAGCCTCGCTTTCGATTTCAAAATGGCGGCTGCGTGAAATCAGCGTATGGCTTTGTGAGAGGAACACACTGAAATTTACATTGTTGACAGCAGATTATCTTCCCCTCCAGTGGGCTGTCAGACAGGGACTTGAACCCAAGAACCAGATCAGTACCATTTGTAAATGAATTTCGATGGATTTTGTGAATTGAATCAAATGATTCATTAAAGGGTTAGGTAACCCAAAAATGGAACACAACTTTCTTTTTGATGAAATGAGATCTTTCTGTCCCTCCATAGACAGCCTATGAAACATAAAAAGTTCATAAAAAGATTGTAAAACTAATCCATATGAATTATGCAGTTTAGTCCAAAATTGTCTGAAGAAACACGATCGCTTTATTTAATGAACAGATTGAATTTAGGCTTTTATTCACATGTAAAAATCAACTCACACATCTATTATGGAGAACGGAAGCTCAAGCATGTTCACTTGACGTGTGAGAACCAATTAGATTCATTCTCCTGTGTTATGGATACTTTATGAACTTTTTGAAGCGTCAAAGTGGTAGTTGCATAGGCCGTCTATGGAGGGACAGAAATCAATCAGATTTCATCAAAAAGATCTTCATTTGTGTTCTGGGTTTGGAATGAGAAATTGATGCGAGTATCTTTAGGTGAATCAGTTGATTCAATTCACAAAATCCGTCGAAATTCATTTACAAATGGGACTGATCTGGTTCTTGAGTTCAAGTCCCTGACAGATAGCCCACAGGAGGGGAAGATAATCTTAATAACTAATAAGTCTTACGGGTTTGGATTTGGAATGACATGAGGGTGAGTAATTAAGTGAGTATTTAATGACAGATTTTTCATTTTCAGTTGAACTATCCCTTTTGCACCAACTGCACTGAAAATTGCATGCTTCAAAATCTATCTTTTTTTGTTCCACAAAAGAAAGTCATACAGGTACACATTTAGTCATGAGATTGACTAAATAATGACAGAATTTTAATTTTGGGTGAATTATTTCTGATTGTCCCATTAACTTCCACGAAGCGTGATTTTAGTGAATTCTAACTATTAGTAATGAATCTGTTTCTTTGTCAGGAGCTCTTGTGGTCTGCACTCAGAGCTGGGGAGATAGATATGGTTGTGTCAGATCATTCACCGTGCACACCTGACCTGAAGTGTTTGGACAGAGGCGATTTCACGCAGGCGTGGGGAGGGATCGCTTCTCTGCAGTTTGGTAGGTTGTCATTGTAGCCAATACGTTAATACATTCACACGCTGTATGTCTTATGATGGCCAAAGTCCGGTGTCCCACAGTGGTCCATCAGACTAATGATTAACTCTTAAGAAACTGACGTTCAAGAGTCAAGTCCCAGATTTGATCTAATTTACAAAAGATCTATAGTCACAGGAACAAAGTGTGGGATTAGTGTGGATTTCCACATGAATTGGTCATAAATCTTCATCAAATCACTTAAATTGACAAAAGTCTGCTGAAACAAAACACAAACATGGGTGTTCAACAGTGACACTGACAAAATTTATCGAAACCAAAAACGTTTGCAAAAGACTCACAATGCTTAGGAAAACGACACAGCACACTAACATCAAAACCTCATCCTAAACATCATTGTTTGGAGCTACTTTGCAGTTTCATGTCCTGGACTGCTCGGAAATCTCAAGCCCAAATTTATCAGGACATTTTGCAGAGACTTTTGTCTTCCAATTGAAGTGCAACAGAAGTTGGGTGATGAAACAGGACAACGACCCAAAGACCAGGAGTAAAATCAATAACAGAATGAGATCAGCAGAAGAAAATAAGCCTTCTGGAGTGACCCGGTCAGAGTCCTGACCTCTTTAACACCCAAAGCATAATCCTGAATTTAAAATTCAAGGTCTGATCAGCAATTACAGTTTGGTGTATAGGTTACAAAACAGGGTCAACCTGTGGCCAGGGCCAACCCCCGACCCCCCCAAAAGACAAAAAGTTTTACAAATATAATTTTAGTAATATTCAAATTAAAGGCATATTTCACCCAAAAATGACAATTCTGTCAGTATTTACTCACCCTCATGTTGTTCCAACCCCGTAAGACCTTCATTCATCTTCGGAACACGAATTAAGATATTTTTTTATAAATCTGAGAGCTGTCTCACCCCTCCATACTAGCCCATAGGCTTCTTGAGGAATTGAAACTTGCCGTCCTCAAAAAGTTATTAAAGACATCGTTAAAATAGTCCAGGTGACTTCAATGGCTCAATCTTAACTTTATCAAGCGACGAGAACACTTTTGTGCGCAAAAAAAAACACATAAATAACGACGTTATTTCAACTATTAATTTTCTTCTCCATGGGCCTCTAGTCAGTTAACATAGTATGATAGCGTAAAGATACGTCACACGTAGGCTCACTATTGGCCGATGCTGGTCGTGTGTGTAATGCGTGTGACGTACAACAGATCGCCCAGAGAAAGAAATTAATAGTTGAAATATCGTTCAAATATTGTAAAGTCGTTATTTTTGTTTGGGGTTTTTTTCGCACAAAAAGTGTTCTCGTCGTTTGATAAACTTAAGATTGAGCCACTGTAGACACTTGGACTATTTTAACGAGGCCTTCAATAGGTTTGAGGCCGGCAAGTTTCAATTTCTCAAAAAGCCTATGGACTAGTATGCAGGAGTGATCCAGCTCTCAGATTTAATCAAAAATATCTTAATTTGTGTCCCGAAGATGAACGAAGGTCTTACGGGGTTGGAACAACATGAGGGCGAGTAAATACTGACAGAATTTTCATTTTTGGGTGAACTAACCCTTTAAGATATGAATATGTTATTTCTGAATGTTATCTGAACATTCAAAACATCCAGTTTTAATTTTTTATTTTTTTTCTTGGTTATGCGAACGTTATGGAAACATTCCATTTAATTATCCTCCAAACATTATGGAAGCGTCACTTTCGAATGTTCTCTTAAGTAACTCTTAAGTAACACTTAAGTAACAAAAGATATTAGACAAACATCCATTTAAAAAGAAAAGTTCCATGAATAATTTATTAATAATGATTTTGTGCAAACGGTTTGAGAACATTATTAAAGGCCAGGTTAATTAGTTCCAACTTACTGGGTTCACATACTTTTTCCACCCTGAACTGTGAAATCTATTAACTGTTATTGCAACTGGGATTAGATAAAATGTCATGATCAATTTATTAAAAGAGATATCTATGGTTCTGTATGATTAAATGATCAAATTCAAAGAGTGATTCAGGTATTGCGAGTTAGCAAAAATGTCATTTGTGTCCCTAAAATTTCCATTCATGTTGCTGTTTACCTACAGGTCTATCTTTGTTCTGGACATCAGCTTCTAAAAGAGGATTTTCATATTCTGATGCAGTGAGACTCTTGTGTAAAGAACCTGCTCGACTCTGTCGCCTTGACAACCAAAAAGGGAGTCTCATTCCAGGTCACGATGCAGACTTAGTCATTTGGGATCCAGAAAAAGAGTTTTTGGTGAGAAAGAGAGGGAGTTGAGCTGAGATGCTCGAAATGACTGACAGCAAGATTTTCTGTTGCTATAATTCTGTTTCTCTGAAAATACACTGAGATGCTTTTTGGAGCCTGCAAGCAAATGTGTGTCATTTCATTTCTTAGGTGAAAGAAGACAACATACATCACAAAAACAAGGTAGGTCAAATTGTACAAACCAATATGACTTTTCAGATACCGATGAAGGGAATGTTTAACTTTTTTACCTTTTCTCTCTTTTCAGCTGACTCCATACCTTGGCCTTGCTCTGCGAGGGAAAGTGGTGGCCACTATAGTCCGAGGGAGGCTGGTTTACAGTCATGGCTCTTTCAGCACTCAGCCTCTAGGGAAGCATCTCTTTATTCAGCACAAGACACCGCTGTAAACAAAGCACATGAAACAATGGTTGTGGTATATTCCATAATGCTTTGGATAACACTTTAAACAAACATTGCAAACAATCATTATTAATAATAATACATTTCACAATTAGCCTAACATTTCATCATAAAGGGATAGTTCACCCAAATTTTTTTATTGTCATAATTTACACCCCCTCATGACGTTCCATTACGACTTGTTTCCTCTGTGGAACATAATAGAAAATATTTGAAGAATGTTGGTAACCAAACAGTTTCTATTCTCATTGTATTCTCAAGTTATCATGAGAATTGTGGGCTAATGTTTAAAGGGGATGTCATAACAAATGTCAGTAGACCGGTAAGACGGTGCACAAATTATGTACAAAATAAATAATCAACAGCTATCGAACAGTATTCAAGGGTTGTTCCAGATTAAAAAGAGAGCAAAGAGGAACATTTGTTTTTAAAAAGATTTTTTTTTAAATAACAAATTCTAAATATCACTGCATCAGTGAATGTATGGAACAGCTGCAGTGAAGAGATTAAATCATGTTCAAAAATGAGTAAATTTAAAGGACTATTTAAACTGAAGATATTAAATGGATACGAAAAGGACTGGAGGAGGTGTTATTTGATTTGCTATATATAGATGGAAATGAATGAGAAGCATCAATTTGTTTTGTTTTAATTAAAAGATAAAGATAGAGATAGGGGGTAGGACCTGAAAAGTTTGTTATGAAATTCCAACACTATCTCACGACCAATTCGTACGAATTCAACGCATGATTAAAAAGTGTCTAATTAGTACTAATTTGTACGATCTCACTCGTACTAATTCGTACGATTTGTCTAAACCCACGTGATGGTTAGGTTTACGGGCGGGGTAAGGGGTAGGTAATTCGTACGAATTCATACGAATTGGCCAATTCGTAAAATATGTACGATTTAGCAAAATCGTATTAATTCGTACGAGTGAGGTCGTATGAATTGTTACGAATTAGACACTTTTTAATCATTCGTCGAATTCGTACGACTTGGTCGTGAGATCGGGTTGGAAATTCTTCCTACTCCTTTTTGAACATGGGAAATTCTAATTTGAATTACTTACAATAATTTTGAAAGATTGTGCTAAAAAGTACATGATTTTATATTGCCATTATTTTAATTTTACATATGTATGCATGTCTGTATGTTCAAAAAAATAAAAATAAAATAATTGACATCCATTGTATTTTTTGTCCATACTATGAAAGTCAATGAGAACCTAAACTGTTTTGTTATCCTTCAAAATATCTTTTTAAGTATGCAATGTTTTTTTGGAGCAGGTTTTAAAGCTGAAATTTTGTTTATAATTGTTATGGAATTTGCGGTAAAAAAAAAGTACATAAATGTTAAATATATTTTTAAGCTATTAAAATACAGAATTAAATATGAATATGGTGCATTTTTTGTCATTTTCATTAGTTAATTAATGGATATTGTTAACTTAGCTCTATTGCAATTGTATATTTCTACAGGAAATGTAAATACAATTTGATTACATCACTGCAAAAATAAGTAACTGATGTTTAACCCATCTTCAGAGCAAAACAGTGAATTTTAAAGATAGCTTTACTGATTTACATGTCCAAATAAAAGAAAATGATTAATGATATTAAACTGACATTTATGGTTTGCTCTTGTTTTTATGAGCATACACTAAATGCTCAACACTGTTGTTTTACTGCTATTTAATAAAAAAACATTATGGTAACAATATTACACATAATATTTTTGAGTAGTTAAGGCTTGGTTTCTTTGATGGAATCTACCTGAATAAATCATGTAAATCCCATTAATTATTCAGTCTAAGATTCAATTAATTTAATATTTTTAGTGAAATAGGCTTTTTTATTTTAAGTTGACGCTCAAAAGTGTGTGAATTATATTGAATGAAAATAGCCAATATTTGCCTGAGTTATATTGCATTATTAAAAGACTGTATGCCACTAGCACAGTGCAGCACCAAACTTGTTACTACACTAGCTTTGTAACAAAGTTTTTGCTCATCAATCAAGGCAACATGTTTCAGAATATCAATACCTGCAGTTATTCACAACCTTACTATGCCCTACTCTTCTGCACAAAGGTAAAATTGTGTAAGTTTCCGTAAAAAAAAAAAAATAGGAAAATGTATCTCTTGGTTTTATTCGTGAAATGTTCTCAATATTTTCTATACAACACTGAACCAAAAATTATCACCATTTTATTAATAAAATTACAAGATCCATGATTCATTTTTTACAATTTTATGTTTAAAAAATGCTGGAATAATAAATGAATGCTTTTTTTTGGTAAATATTAAAAACAAAAACAACAAAACAAAACATTGATTTCCATGTTAGTGGTCAAGTTGAAAAAGAATCTAAAGGCAATTGAAATGTCAGTTAATTGATCAGCTGCTGTCGCTGCTCAGCTGCACTGTTATAGTACTGTATGTAGCCTATGTCCCGACTCAAAATGAGATGATTGGTCAACAGGTGAAAAAATGTGCCCACAGTTTACATGGGTTAACCATTACCTCAGTCTGTCAGTGTGTCGGCAGCAATATGTCCTCTCTGTCTGTTCTTCCACCGCAATGTCTGTTACAGCCTTTAATCGTTCCCAAACGACTTATGCTCGGACCAGGACCGTCCAATGTACCCGCAAGGATCTCAGCAGCCGGAGCACAGCCTATGCTGGGCCACCTGCATGCAGAAACCATTGAGGTAACACAGTACATGTGCACTCATATCATATTGGCTTATAGGGATAGTTCACCAAAACAATTCAAATTCGATCATCATACTTACCCTCATGCTGTTCGATGTATGACTTTTATTCTAGTCATACAATGCTAGTCATACTAGTCATATTAAAATGTATGACTTTTATTCTTCTGTGGAACATACAGTAAAATAATATATTTTGAGGCATGTCTTATATGATTAACAACAGTTTGGTTACCAACATTCTTCAAATATCTTAAGAGAGAATGAAGAGAGAAAGTCATACAGGTTTGGTCCGACATGAGGCCGAGTAAATGATGACAGAATGTCTTCATTCACATTTTTGAGTGAACTATAATTATTCAAAGTCCCCCTGTGGCAAAATCAAGTTTTAATGTTGTTTTTATGGTGATGGCACAGGCACATGCCTTTGGTGTGAGAGACCCGGGTTCGAATCCACTGTGAGACACCAATGTGTCCCTGAGCAAGACACTTAACCCCTAGTTGCTCCAGAGGCATGCGGCCACTGACATATCTTGACATACCTCTGACATATCTCAGACAAACTTGGTGCAGATTAGTAAATCCAATGCCATTGCTGGGTATTTTCTCTTTTAAACTGCGGTGAACAAGTCTCAAAAACATGGTTTGAAATCGCTGGTGTTTCTGATGTCACAAACTAACTTGTAACCAATCACGTCAATGTGATGGCAGGCTTTAGCATATCATTAACACTGAACTAGCAGGGGAGATGCCAGGTAATCTCAGTGTATTTTTCTGTTGATATGAAAAATTGGGTATATTTAGCAATATATTATAATTAATATACAATGTTATGATGAACTATGCCTTTCTCCACTGATGTTCTGAGTTGTTCTAAGGATGCTGATTTTCAGGAGGCAGCTGTTTGACTCTGAGATCGATAACGGAAACATTGGTTTGTGTAACGCTAGCAACCCATTAGCTGTTTGAACATCGTCAAGCAAAAGGCTAATCAAATTGATTACCGTTATGTGTTCGATGTTGTAAAGAGTGATACCACTGTGCAACGTTTACATCAGTAAGTTGACCGAGTGAATCCCTGAGTTGGCGTGAGTGGAGGCGGGGCTAATTAGCATATTCATTGCTCAATCAATAGGCCTACTAAATGAAGCAAGGGTGAACACAAGATAATTAAAAATATATAAGATAAAGATAAAAAAATACAAGATAATTTTGGTGATCAAAGATAAAATGATTGACTACAGGGGGACTTTAAACAACTGCCACAAAAGTAAAATGACTGGGATGTGGTTAGTGACATTGTAAAACACATTGTAAAGTAGCTTGTTTATAAGAGATTTTCGTAAATGTAATCCGGTCATGATTAATGCCTATCAATGAAATTCATTCAGTGTTTGTTTAATTTTCTTTCAGATTATGAATCAGATCAAGAGTGGCATTCAGTATGCGTTTCAGACCCAAAACCGAGTAACTCTGGCTGTTAGTGGGCCGGGTCATGCTGCTATGGAGTGTGCCATCTTTAACTCGCTGGAGCCCGGAGAGAGTGTCCTCATAGCTGTCAATGGCATATGGGGGGAGAGGGCTGCGGAGATCGCTGAGAGGATAGGTACTGGCTCTGCTTTTACTAGAAAGCCTGAATCTGAGAGTTATAAAGGTGATTTAGAACATCATCAATTTATATATCGAACACTCTTCAACAGGTGCCAAGGTGAACACAGTTGTAACCTCTGCTGGTGGGTACTTTACAAATGAGGAAATTGAGCAGGTAAAAATGATGATTCATTAACCACTTATGTATTAACTACATATGATTAACCATGCCTGTACTGTTTTTAAGGCATTAGACAAATACAGGCCAGTGGTGTTCTTCCTCACACATGGAGAATCCTCCACAGGAGTGGTCCACCCCATAGATGGCATAGGTGACCTTTGCCACAAGTGAGACATCTCCTCCTGAATAGAGCTTTGATTTCTCAACATGCACCAGCTTAAGACTCCTTGAAATCAAGTTTTTGGCTTTAATCCCTATTTTAGTAACTTTGAGGTCATCTCAAAATTCACCTTTAGCAAATGCAACGGTCTTTCTCATCCAGTCTTTCAAACCTGTCTGATCTCATGAAATGGCGTATGTATGACATGCCAATTCGTATTTCCACTTTTGGCGTGCTATCAACACGCATAATCGCTTTTAAGTGTGTTTATGAACGCCGTTGACTTTTAAGCGTGTTTATGAACGTTACATTACTGTATACTGTATATAAATATAGGACCTAGCCCAACCCCGTCCCTAAACCTACCCGTCACTGGGGTTCATAGCATTTATGAGCGAAAAAGAAATATCGCTCCCCAGAAGTAGATCTACATTTTGCTTCGTTTCGCTTGGACATTTAACAGTGTGTACATACACGCGGAATCACTCGGACATTTAATGGCGTAGACATACACGCATACACGCGGATAGCTGAAAATGCGTATAGATAACAAACCACTTGACTTGTGGCATGAATGTTTACGCAAAAGTCATGATGCCATGTTGGAGAAAACAGAGAAAAATGTAGCGATACGATATAACGGCCACCATATCGGTATCAGTTGATATGTTCATTTTTAATGTTATCGTTATTGGCCTGATAAGAAATTTGCCCGATATTTTAAAGCTGATAAATAATGGATTATTTTCTTCTGCTGAGACACTTCAGATGTGAACTGTTTGTTCGCCATGATGGTTTTGAATTGCTTGAAATAGGACTGGAATCACTAAATACAGTTAAGTGCAGTGCAAGTCTGTCAAATAGGCTACATAAAATGATAATGAGAATATTATAACTGTGTGCTTGGGACATGGAGTTTAATGGTGAGGCTTTTGTTTTTGTAATCAGGCTCTCAAAAATTATATAAAAAATTGGATTTAGATTTATCTGCCAACATATCGGTTATCGGCTTTCATATTTAAAAAATTATCGGTATCGACCAACATTTTCATATCGGTGCATCCCTAGAAAAATTATTCATGACTCATGTTGCACTATACAGATTTATGTCCAATCAAATGCTGTCTTGAATGAGAACGTTCCTCCCCCTATATATTCTGCCATGAATAACAAGTAGTTCATAATTTACATTTATCTATATAGCAGAAAGTTTTGTAAATCCAAATCAGGGTTGGTTCCTTCAAAAAATTTAAAATGGATGGATGGATGGATGGATGCATGCATGGATTGGTGTGTGTTTGTGTGTGAGAGAAATGTATTGTTTATTTCGTTTTTTTGAGTAAATTCTGTTCTGTCTCTTAGGTACAACTGTTTATTTCTGGTTGATTCAGTAGCGGCATTGGGAGGTACTCCTATCTGCATGGATGAGCAAGGTCATTACCACATTACACGTTATGGCACCACAAACATTGCCTGTGATCCAAGACTTAAAATGTACGTTTTGTATTTTTAGGTATAGATATTATGTATACTGGCTCTCAGAAGGTCTTGAATGCCCCTCCAGGAACTGCACCAATCTCCTTCAGTGAGAGAGCATGGTGAGACAAAACAGCTCCAAGTATTATGTGGAAAAACAAATCTTTAAAACATTTTTTTGTTGTTGTTGTTGTTTTTTTTGGCAAAACAGCCACAAAATATTTAACAGAAGGACAAAACCAATCTCTTACTTCTTGGACATGAGCTGGTTGGCAAATTATTGGGGTTGTGATGACAAGCCTGTACGCGCGTAAGGACCACTTTTACCAAGCACTGTATTTTTTAATTTTTTTTTTTACCAAAACAAAAATCAATATGTTCAGACATTTGAAGTAAATTCTCTATCATTAAATATAATGAAAGAATATTGCGCATTAATGATAAAGTTGCTGTATCTGTTGTTTGTACAGTTATCACCACACCGGACCTATAACTTCTTTCTACGGGCTGCGGGAGAGTCTGGCCATCCTCGCAGAGACTGTGAGATCATAATCTGCCTTATGCTCACATTTTAATTTTTTCCTGGCATTATGATCATCTAAAGACCAAACGGCCAAAAACAACAACATGAATTAGTAAATCTGAGAAATATAAAGGATGTATCTAATGAATGAAAGCAGTTTTGACATTTTATTATCAGGGGAAAACAAACTTACTTTTTAATTTACATTAGAAAGAGATTTACAGCAAATTCATTCACATTGTGGTTTTGATAGAGAGCCTAAGTCCCTCCCCTTCCGGTCGACCACCATGGGACCTTATTTTTATTTGGCGAGAGACAACAAATATTTTGATATCCTTTGAATTATGCCGTGGATTACACAAATGATGTTTGTCAATTTAAAAGATACACTTTAAAGTCGCATTTTGATGTAAAACTGTTGAGGTATAAGACTGTGAAAATACGTAATTACAAAGACTACTACAAACCCCAAAGGCGCACATTTTCTCTCAATGAATGAAGCTAACTTTACTGAAGCGAACATCTGTCATTGTTTCTATAGTCTTCCGTTATAATCGTAACCGAACGAGTGTTTTGTACCAGACTGCACACATACAAGGAACGGATCTTGCTTGTTGTTTCGCTTCCGGGAGATGTACTGTAGTTCATTGAGCGATTTTCACATAAAACTAAAATTTACTCTTCTGTTTTATGACAAACGTGTTTGACTTGCAGAATTATTTTTTAAATTGACAAACATCATACAGTATGTGTAATTCAGGGCAAAGTTCAAACGGAATAAAAAGATAAGCTGTCTCTCCCCATTGACTACCATACATATTTTTTTCCAAAATAAGATCCCATGAGCCGGAAGGAGAGGGGAGGGACTTAGGCTCTCTATTCCCATTTTTCCCCATTGATCTAAGTTAAACTGCTTGTGGAACAAGAAAAAAATGTAGGATGGGACATGATTTTGTACACTGAAAATTGATTGGATGGTTTGCTATTGCTGAGATCTCATGTGAGTGACAGGTTGTCCTGCCCTCAAACCAGTAAACACATCATCAGTGAAGAGATGTTGCTGATGTGCACAGATAAATCATTTCAAACAAATACTGAAATATTCCTTATAAAAACAAGAATTGTCAATTATGATTTCATGGTGACTTTAAAGGAGTAGTTCACTTTTAAAAAATACTTTTGCTAATAATTTACTCACCCCCATGTCATCCAAGATGCCCATGTCTTTCTTTCTTCAGTCGAAAAGAAATGAAGGTTTTTGATGAAAACATTCCAGGATTTTTCTCCAAATAATGCACTTTACTGGGACTCCAACAGTTCAAGGTCCAAATGACCGTTTCAGTGCTGCTTCAAAGAGCTTTAAATGACACTAGATGATGAATAAGGGTCTTGTCTAGCGAAATGATCGGTCATTTCAAAAATAAATACAAATGTTTAAGTTTTATGAGCACAAATGCTCGCCTTGCTCGACTCTCCTGTTCGAACTCGTTCATCAAAATAAACTAATCTTTTTTCGAGTCATTTCGTTCATTTCATTCGTTGAATGAACCAAATGACTCAAAAAAAGATTCGTTTAGTTACCTAAGGGTAACTAAAACCCTGGTCAGAGCCTGACTCCACCCACTGGCAATATTTGAAAAATGCTGGAAAAATGGGCAGAGCCCAGCAGAGGGGGGCGTGCACCTGAGACGCATCTCTTTGTATGGAACTTGCCTATGTCACTAACAACCGCTGTGTCATGTACCACCGCAAACATCCAATAGGAAAATTCAACTGCAGTAGCCACCGTTTAACCTGAAGAGGGCAGCACTAAGACGTTTTTACACCATATATTGTAGAAATAGAACACTTTATAAACAAATGTCAAAAAAGTTACTCGAATCAATGACTGCTATTAATAAAGATCCATTCTTACAGATCATTAACTAAAAAAAGTTGGTTTAGTGTTTAATTACTCTTTAAAGCTCTTTGAGAAATATAAATATTGTACAAAAAAAGCATTTGTTTGATGCATATTTTTTATAGGGTCTTGAAAACTCATGGAAACGACACAAAGAGGTTGCAGAGTACTTCCATAAAGGCTTAGAAGAAATGGGCCTAAAACTGTTTGTGCAGGATAAGGTTGGTAGAAGAAAAGGAACCTCAAAGATCACAAAAAAAAAAAATAATAATCATATAACATACATTTTATATGAGTGTAACTATAATATTACCTGTTTTGAACACTTCTTGTGTCTTATAGAAAGCAAGACTGCCAACAGTGACCACAATAGTAGCTCCCTCGGGATATGACTGGCGAGAAATCACTGGGTACATAATGAAGACCTATAACATTGAAATCTCTGGGGGTTTGGGACCATCTGCCGGCATGGTGAGAAGCTATTGGATTACAATTAATCATAACTGACAGAGAAAAGTCATTCCAAGTACATTGATGCAGTGTGTTAAAGAGACACATGGGTCAGCAATTGTAAATGCACTGTAAATGTTTTGTTTCACACGTTATTTTACAGGTTTTGCGTGTGGGACTGATGGGATGTAACAGCAGCAAGGCCAATGTGGACATGTTGTTGGAGGCCTTGGCTGATGCTCTTAAACACTGTCACAAGAGCAGAGTCTGACAGCTCGACTGTTCATCAATAACAAGTCCCGCTTTTAACCCTATATCAGTGGGTTTCAGTTGTTTTTAGTGACAACACCCTTGAAAGTAGAGAAATTTGTACTGCCCCTCCTTAAAAAAACAAACATGCAATTTGCATATTAAACCTGATAAAAACGAAGGGGAATAATACAATAATAGCCTACTAGTTGTTATCTTACATTTTATTGACTAACTGCTGTGAAACAAAATTAACTTATCATCTTTAAGGTTTTATTTTTCTGATGATTAATGAAAAAAAATCACCTTCTTGTATGCTAGCCATTGTTCAACTATTTTCTGTGTAGGCCTATTTTACCTTCTGGAACAACAAAACATTTACATGTAATAATAATAATAATGCATAAAAAAGGATTAAATAAATAATTTACTCACCCTCATTTAGCTCCAACCCTGTCTTGATCTTGTTCAGGTGGTTTTGATGATTTTGCTGAACTCCTGAGGCTAATCAGAGTATGCAGAATTTAATGTTAACTTTTCAACCAAAAGTGCAACAAAACGTGGTTTCCCTGGTTATGCACATAAAGCCAGCTAAACAAAAGATAGTTGAGGCCTGCATCATGCACAGCCTTCTTTGCATTTTTCAGTTGCACCTCAGTGGCTAATCTAGCCAACAACAATAATTTATACACACAAATATAAAATGTAGGCTATACAAAAATAATAATAATACAAATAAATATATAGGCTCAATATAAAAAAAAATGCTCTTTGGCTGCACCATAGCTGAAACTTTCCCATGTGTACGGATATGACGTGACATGCATTGGCGAATGACGTGTAATCTGCTATGGTAATAAAAAAAATAAATAAATAAATAAATAAAAAAAATCTGCTATGGTAATCTGCTCTATGGAAATCTCGAAATCTGTCCCGGTGTAACAAAACAAATGTCAAAAAAGCCCACATTTTTGTTTCAGCATTAGAAAATGTGGTTTGTAATTTAGACATTTTAATGAAAAAGGGAACAAATGCGCTAATGTAAATATTTTTTATAGGTTTATAAACGTTTATTTTAGGTAAAGGTAAACATTTACATCAAAATAAGTTACATATTTGATGTGAATATTGATACTTCATTACACTTTAAGTAAGTAAATCAATAATATAATTTATTAAATCTGCCAGGATGATTTAGTGAAAACTCCGATAAAGATAGATTAAAAAAAAGAGAGAGAAAAAAAGATAAACTCTTCTGACATTCGTGAAGAATCATGTGTAGCCTACCTGAAGGGTTTGTTTTTGAGAAAACCGAAAAATGGCAATTCTTTTGGGATAATGAATCCTTTGGAAGACATATTTTTAATATACAGCCTAAAGTAAAAAAAAAAAAAAAAAAAAAAAGATTGGAGATTCAGTTAGAACTAAAGTTAGACATGAGGAAGTGACGGTAATGTGGGCATCCATGGCTCTGGGGCATACCAGCTGGCTCTGACGAGACCTTATTTCTAATGAAAAAGCATGTAACGTTAGATGGCAACTGAGGCGTAGCCTATGGGCGTAGGCTTCAGGCGTAACCCAGAAAGAAGTAGAGCATCATCAAGAAATGCAGAGGCGTAACGTTATTGCTCAAGTAGAGGCCAATGAAATTATCTTTGAATACAGAAATATTTTACAAAGAAACGCTAGGAAGATTTTTCGGTTTTGTTTTTAAAGAAAATATTAATCCCGTTATACACTCCAGTCCAGCGGTGGCGGTATTACAACAAATAGTTTAAAAAATGGAAAAAGCAGCAAAAGAAAAAAAAAACCCGCGCAATATCCTTGAAATTATTTGCTAACCAGTGTCAGCGCTGTCTCCGTTCTGTTCTGTTGCACATTTTCAGTTGTTTTCAAGAGCCATGTCTTGCAGAAGAGGAGCTTTGATTGTTCTGGAAGGAGTTGACAGAGCCGGGAAAACCACGCAATGCCAAACACTTGTGCAGGCGTTACAGCAGAGCGGACGAGCGGCAGAAATAATGCGATTTCCAGGTGAAAACCAGACTATTTGTGGAGCTTTTCCTATGAAATGATGCTGATAGTTAAGCACCCCGCAGTATTTGCAGCTCTTGTTTATAAACATCAGTGCAACGCTTGTGAAATCAATAGGAAATACACATGCATACATATGTAAGTAAGTTATATAAAATAACAGAAAACATACACCTATAACTAACTTCACGCATGGCAGCTCACTGGGTTTTGTTTTGTCTTCATGTGCAGTGTTTGTATTTCATGTACCGAAGATGAATTGTTTTCTACACAGACAGAACCACTAATATTGGTCGGCTCATCAGTTCATACCTAGAGAAGAAAAGTGATCTGGAGGATCACACTGTTCACCTGCTGTTTTCTGCAAACCGATGGGAGATGGTGTAGGTTATCACTCCAGTTTTATTAATACAGTAAAGTGCATGCACGTGAATGTTTCATTGATGTATCATTCGACCGATCTATCTGCCAACCAATCAGTCTGTTTTTCTAACTTCAGGCCTCTGATGAAACAGAAGTTGGAACAAGGGATTAATCTCGTGGTGGACCGCTATGCGTTTTCAGGAGTGGCTTTTACCAGTGCCAAGCCTGTGAGTGTTAATGTTATACTTTAATGTAACTTTAACATTTACAGGGAGCATAAAAAAATGTGTTGGTGTAAGGATGTTCATATACACTACTATTCAAAAGTTTGGGGTCAGTAAGATTTCAGTTTTGAATTGAGAATTTTACATTTTATATCAAATTGAATTAGTGACACTTTATATATTTATAATTTTCTCCACCAACATTATAATAACTGTTTTCAACATTGTTAGGAAGAAGAAAAGTTGGATATTAGAATGAGTTCTGAAGGCTAATATGATGCTAGGATAATGGCTGTAGAAAATTCAGCTTTGAAATCACAGGAATAAATTACATTTTTTAATATTAAAATAAAGTTAATTTTGAAAGAGTATTTCATAATGATTTACTGTATTTTTGATCAAATAAATGCAACCATGGTGGTGATCTCAAAAACATTGGTAACACTTTACTATTTTAACACTTTACTAAGGTTTCATTAGTTAATAACTTTAGTTTACATGAATTAAAGGTACACTGTGTAACTCGTTTAGTTTATTCTTACCTAAGAACACTTAGTTCTTCCAAAAATAGATGTGCTCATTAATGTATATTTACTTCGTTCAAGTAATAAAGTATTCTCGTGAGTGTATAATATGCCATACGGGTAAGGGGTTCTAATGTCGGTCGCCATGTTGCCCCTCCATCTTGAAAGTACATTAGCCAAAGTGGGACATGCCCGTTAATTCAAGCTTTGCCTTTCGCGTTTACGTTTGAGTTAACACTCATGAACGAGGTCGAACTGGAAGCCATGTTAATCTTGGACTACATTGGCCACCGTAGGAGTTAAAACGAAATCGGAATTGAGAGGAACAGAAACTAATATTCACTGGATGGTCATATACCTTTTCACCTCTGGATGGGAGTAAACATCACACAGTGTAGCTTTAAGAATGAACAATAACTACAGCATTTAAATCACGTACATCTAAATAAATTTTCATTTTAAAAAATTTAAATCAGAAGTTGTTTGTAAACAGTTAACACACTGTAAAATAACAACAGTGAACGACTTTTTTTTAAATGAACATTAACAAAGATTAATAAATACTGTAACAAAGGTTTTGTTCATTGTTAGTTCATACATCAACTATTGTTGATTAATGAAACCAACCCCAAATATGTTCAGGGCTTCTCTCTGGAGTGGTGCATGAATCCAGATGTGGGCCTTCCAAAACCAGACCTGGTGATGTTTCTACAACTCAATCCAGGTATGGCAGCAAACCGTGGAGAATTTGGAATTGAACGGTACGAGACGAGTGCTTTCCAAAGTACAGTTACACAAAGGTTCGAAGAGCTTATGCAAGATTCCTCAGTCAACTGGAAGGTGATTTATTTGGTGTAATCCTAATTATTGTACATTTACAGTAGGTAACTATCTTTGAATTAGTGTAATATTTATCTTTTGTCTTTCTTCGTCTAGGTGATTGATGCTGCAAGAACCATAGAAGAGGTGCACAAAGATATTAAGCGTTTGAGTGAAGACATCATCAGTTTAGCTGAGAATCAGCCAATTGGAGAGCTGTGGAAGTGAACAGATCTCCACCTGCTCTGAAACATTTTTAATGATTAAATAAATATTCATAAAATAAACTTGTGTGTACAGACATTTTAAACATTAAGACAAACTCATTCTTGTATAATTACACGAGCAATCCCACCCAGTCTGCAAATGCCCAACCTTCCATGGCTGTCATTTACAAATTGATACAGGTCCAACATTTCACTGACTTCCATTGGTTCAGAGTAAATGCTGAATCAAATTTGATTAGCAGGTCTCCTAACCGAAACCATAATATGTGTTATGGCAAACCTGTGTTTAAGTTAAGGGGGTAAAAAGGCACCATATCACTTAAAAATTAATCTATAGTGTTAAGACTCAATATGGATACACATAAATGCGACAAAGTACATACATACTGATGGTCCTGAGTGCCTGTGACCATGAAACCTGACCTCGGCTCACTCAGGGTGACAGAGAGCAGTCAGTATAGCTGTTAAAGAAGAAAGCTGTGGGTTTTGACGCAGGTGACTATTCCACAGTGGCCTTGGACGTCAATGGTATTCTTCTCTTTCCTCTGAGGAGGCTTTACCACAGAACTCTGAAAGTCTGGCAAATGCAACTGTCCCTCACAAAGACAGGATTTCAAATTCTTCATCCTCAGAATCAAAGAAGCGCTCGAGCCGGTCCGAATCCGAAAATTCTGTTCAGGAAAAAATAACACGGTGAGTATTTATAAACGTAAATCTTAGACTTCTGAATCTATGAACAAGCAGCAGTATTAGAGATTACCTGGAGTAAGATTAATTACATCGGCGCCAATTAGATGAGATGGCTGACTGTCTACTAATTCAAACATAGGAAGACCTCTACAATTGGAAACCTGTACAAGGGAAAAACAAAAGTGAACAGTGAGCCAGAGGAACAAACATAAACTGAGACTGTGAAAAAAGACGCCATTTTTGGCTGAAGTACCTTACGAATCTGTGCACACCAGTCATCAAAATCATCCTCTGTTTGACAGAAAAAGCCCTGATGGACAAAATTTGGGATAGATGATACTGTTATTCAAAGAAAAGTACTTTTGACTGTTTTTGACAATGAACAACAACTGTATTTACCAATTTAACCCCAAAATGTTCCAGTCAAAGTGCGCACTTGTTATACTCTTGATATCAGGCAACAGAGGAAAATGGAATGATAATCTGAGAATAAATACATATTTCTCTTTAGGAAATAACAATACTTCTATATCTATCTATCTGCAGCTGTGTGATGTGAATACAGCCATTACTTCAGTGTCACATGATCCTTCAGAAATCATTCTAATGGGTTTATCAGTTGAGTACTACTAGGTGGACATAAAGGATACTGAAATTATTATTTTTTTTTCTGCATCAAGCTATACTTACAGCAGCAATGGAGGGGTCAAGCTCACAGATGTGCATTCGGCAGGGAGGGTGCTGACAGTGGTAGGAGTCGTCTGGGAAATGACCCCCTTCACTTGGGTCCACAGCTGGTTGAGTTGTATGGGGGTCTAGATAAATGAGCTCCTCACCTGCAGGGCACCATCAATAAGAAAATATAATGAAGCCGTTTGAAACAATATTCAGCATTTACATAATCTCTACTACACATTTAAACCTCCCAGTAAAACAGTAGTGCTCAACTGATATTTTTACATTGGACATGAAGTGGCATCCTTTATTTCCTTACTTAGGGTTAGAGGTTATTTATTTAAATGTCGGACTTCTTTCGGGTTTGTTACTTTCTTTTCTTTGCGCTGCCCACGTCCCCTCTTCCTCCTTGTGGTATTGACTATCTAACAGAAATACTGTGTAAATCCACTGTATATTCTTTACGTGTTTGTCTTGCTTAATTCTTGTCTTTAACCTTTTTCTACTGAAAGGCATTAGCTTTTTGCAGTTACCTAGATTGGTGGTTCTTTGTACAGCACATATAAATTATATATGTTTCTCTTTAATGCAAATTTTAAATGTTAGACCCCTGAACCCCTAGACTATTTCAGGGGTCATAACACAACACAAAATGGTTTGTTATACACAAATAAACTGATTGACACATTTAACTTAATGTAGTCTGGGTTGTACATTATTTCAGCAGACGGAGTTAATAATATTTAATGTTTTCAAAATACGACACTACTTGTACATATTAGCATCTGCCTAATTCGACTAGCTACCAAGTAAACCAGATGAATTTGCTGCAAATTCCCATAGATATGTATTCGCGCGCGATTGTTGGTTCGGCCAATCACAAAAGGTATGGGAATGGAAATGTTTACTTATTTTGCCATCCAAACTACCATAAATGATAAGCTGTAGGGCTGGGTATTGAGACAAATTTCACAATTCGATTCGATTTCAATTCACTAGCTTGCAATTCGATTCGATTTCGATTACGATTCGATTCAATATCGATTATTTTGGATATCAGTTACAATAAATGGCAAATTTTCTCAAGGGACTCAAATCTCTTAACTAATGCTGTAAACTATGGGAGTCTAGTTGTAGCCTATAGACTTCATTAGCCTAATATGAAGGTAATAATGAACTGTTTTGTAGCTATACAAACATTTAAATTACACTTTTATTTATTTTTATAATAAGAAGATTGAAATATAAACATTTAAATGGTGGCTGTCGTAAAAACTTGCCAGATTTATTCAAATATGCATTAAATATTGAAGAACATTAAGATAATAATTCATATGTAATATGGTGTATATATTAAGCAAAAATGCTCCTCTCTGGAGTTATTTTTTTCTAGCTGACTAACGAGTTTATGTGGGTTTTCTGAGGTAAATATGACGATACATGACATTGATTACAAGCTGTTTAACTGACGTCTTTCCACGGTTGAAACGCTGATTGAGCGAATCAATGTGACATGATCCGGATTTCGATAAGTTGTACTCTAACACACTTTCAGATGCTCATTCATGTTTATTTGGCGCTGTGACTGGTATTATTAAGCCGGAAGAGAGATCAGCGCTGCTGCTTCTCCAGAGCGATCTCACGCCACAGCGCCAAAACGCTATTTATGTTTCTGAATTTCTAAAGAAAATGGACGTAATTTGAAAATTGAGACTTTGTTTCATATCAATAGTAACAAAGGACAAAGATTATTGCGATTTTTTGGATGCTTGCAGCTGCGATACAATGATCCATTCATTCAAATGAAACAGGATGACTAACCGATTCTTGAGATTTAACAATCGATATCGGTTCGTAAAAATGAGAATCGATTAATATCGAGAAATAGATATTTATTACCCAGCCCTAATAAGCTGTACCTATTTTTTTGCATTTTGAATGGTTTGTTTTTCCCTGTCATCTTAGATTCTCATCAGAAGGACTGGTCAACCATTTTGGCTCAAGAGCCACCAGTTGAGAACAGACTTTTTAATAGGTTTAGCTTTAAGAAAACCTGCTCACCTACAAAGCCAATGAAGTAGTGAGCGCTGTTTGGCTTTCCACCTATTACTCCTAAAGACTGAGGCATCATGAAGCATTGCTGTGGATAAGATATAAAAATAAAGCCCAACACTTGGCAAAACTGAATTTGCTAAAGCAATAGTAGATGACATTTCACTCACACTTAAACAGTGTTAACATCTATTCATACATCAGATGTTGTTATAGATTTACCTTGAGTGGTTCAATATAAGCTTCATTGATATCACTGAGGCCCAGTCTTAGAGGAATCAGCAGAACAAGGGGTTTCCACAAAGCCGTCTCCTCTTCCGCCAGAGCACAAGCCCCCTCCAGATCACCATTCATCTCTCGAGGCTCTTCCGAAGCCGCACATGCACCCCTGTCGAAGTCCAGCCACGGCATACACAGCCTCTCTACGGACAGCCAGTACAAACAACCATTATCAAATACCTTAGTCATTTATTGGCTAATTGGGACAATTGTTAAGTCAGAATTTCCTTCTCAAGTCAATATCGTCCTTACACTAAAAACAGTAGTACAACCTTCATAAAAAACACGGTTTGTGCAATTTTGCAATTCTCCAAATGTAAAATATCTAAGACACTTAGATTATGTCATTAAATATGTTTACATTTGCAGTAATCGAGCTACGGTCACTGTCCAAGTTACAAAATGTTTCTATGGGACAACCATCTTCAAGCTACTGCACAAAAAAAGAGCTTTTGGGGAAATTGATGAAGAAAAATCTGTCGTCTGTAAAACAAACATGGTTTGATTAAACTAAAGTTAAACTTTTGGCTCAAACACAAAGTTGTTTGTGTGCTGTACAATCTAACACTGCACATTAGCCAGGTAACACCATGCCCACAGTGAAATTCGCTGATGGTAGTGGTGTTGTTATATTACTGTGGTGCTTTTCAGCAGCAGGCATTGGCAGTCTTCTTGAGATTGATGAATTCTGCTAAGCACCTACTCCCTTTTCCCAGAAAGTATAAACTAACGACATTTCAGTAGGGCAACAACCCAAAGCACACTGCCAGAGTAACACTGAAGTGGCTTAAAATGAAGAAATAGATGCCCTTGAGTCCGTCTTGACTTCAATCTCATCCAACATCTCTGAAAGAATGAACTGCTGTCCACTGCAACTCCTCAACTGACCTCGTACAGTTTGAGTGATTATTTTGTGCAAAATAAAGAGAGCCCCAAGGCTGATAGGTGTAATATTTCTGACACTGGTTCAACAAAATACTAAAGAAAGGGAACAAATACTTATCTACTGGCTAATTAACATTAACATTTTAAAATTAACAGTCAGTTATTAACTTTTGGGTTGCAAAGTTGCAGAAGCAAGTGATTTAAAAAAAATAACAATAACTTTTTTGGTTGGGGAAATCATTTGTATTTAAAAAAAGGCATCGTATAGCAGATAAATCAATTAATTCAGCTAGAAAAATACTTATTTTATTTATAAAAAGAACTGAGATGAAAATGTGTTCTAATTGGGCTGTTGTGTACTAACCCTAATTTGCAAACAAACACATACACACACAAATAATCCACTATCACAGCTCTCAGAAGAGGCATGTCAGATTGTGACATTATATAATATACATGTATAGATTGACTCTATAAAAATAAAAATTCTGTCATCTCTATCTTTATATTCTTTAATGTTAGCCAGCACAAGTCATAGAGGTTTGTAACGACATGAGCTGAGTAAGTAATGACAGAATTTCCATTTCTGGGTGAACTATCCCTTTAAATATACTCACACTATCAGCTACTAATAAAAGTGAAGTAAAAAAAGAGTCTGCTAAAATCCATGCCACAGAATCCCCTTTAAATTAGTGCAAAAGAAGGCTCTAGATTGCATGTGGGCACTATGAAAGAAAACTCACTGATTTCCTCTATGACCACAGTATTGTCCATAGCTACATGTACTGCCAGTCGGCTCCAGGAGTCAA